GAAGGGAAGTAAGGAAAAAGAAAAAATACGAGAAAAGGAAAAAAATGGAAACAAAGTCTCTGTCAATAGGGGAGGGTGGAGGAGGTGAAGGGAGGGCAGGGGTATGGGGAAAAAATGAGACCCAGGATCAGTCATGTAAAGGTACAAGATCCCAATGATGAATGTAACTGTATACTTAAAAAGTACCAATAAACTCAATGAGAAAAAAAATAAATAAATAAGTACATAAATATTTAACGGCTAAGGGTATAACTCAGAGGTGGAACAGCCTAGTAAGCATAAGACCCTGCGTTCAATCTTTAGCACTTCAGTAGAGACAGACAGACAGATAGATAGACCATCATTTTCTTAATCTGTGAGTCTTATTATAAGATTAAGAAACTGACTTCAGCCAGGCATGGTGGCGAACACCTGCAACCCAGCACTCAGGAAGCTAAGGCAGGAGGATCGTCACAAGTTCCAGGCCAGCAAGGCCTTTGTCTCCAAAAAACGGGTGATTTCAGCTTTGATAAAAACATATAAACAAACCAAAAACAATAAGCCAGAAAGTTAACAGTTATTAGTTTTGTGGGATTTTAAAACTTTCTCCATATATTTATAAATTCTTTAAAATGAGCATAAATTTAAGCATAAAAATACATGTACTGTACATATTTTTTTTTTAAACTTGTCTTCTACTTACAGCACTGTACGATGATCTCCCATGTTTCACTATCCCAGTGAGGTGGCGTAATTTAAGCCTCAAAACTAAGATTCTTCTCCCAGAGTGGAATGATAGTAGAATTTCTAAATTAGGGAGTTGAGCGTGTCCCAGATTGGAGTAACACATCAGAATAACCAGAGGATTTGGTTTGGTTTGGTTTGATGTTTTTTGTGGCACCGGGATTGAATTACACACACACTCCCCCACACACACCCTTTTACTTTTGAAAAGGTCTCAGTACATTGCTAACCTGCCCACGTGACTCTGCCGCATGGCGGAGGCTGTGATCCAGTAAGCATAGACACCTGCAACTGCATCAGTTAATGAGCTCCGGGAACACACAGGTGCCCCTGGTCCAGGGGCCACCTTTGCAAACTGCTGATCTCATTGAACTTGCTGACTTTTCAGTGAAGCTCCCACGTTTGCCCTTTTGAGGTCTATCCAGCTGTTTCTGAAGGCCTCTGATGGCAGGAAACACTTCCATAAGGCAGGGCATCCTGAGACCAGAGAGAAGCCAGAAGCAGTCGAGACCTAAAAGACGGTGCAAACCCTGCTCTCCTCCCCTAGGCTCGCTTCAATCAGGAACTTTTTTGGGTTTTGGGGGTGGTTTTTGGTACCAGGGATTGAACTTGGGACCTTGCGCTTACAAGACAGGCAGCGGAACCACTGAGCTAAATCCCCAGCCCAGGTTTTTGGTTTTTTGAGACATAGGTCTCGCTATGTAGTTCAGGCTGCCCTTGAACTATGTACCCCAGGCTGGCCTTGAACTCGCTGCAATCCTCCTGCCTCAGCCTCCCCAGTGCTGAAATTACAGGCGTGTGCCACCACACCCAGGTCATGATCAGGAACTTTTTAAACTGTTAGATGCTATTTCAGACCTTTTAGGTTTGTGCCTTTCCTCCTACCTCCAGCTGAAATTAGGGCAGACCACAGATGCTTCCCACATGATTTGGGAAGGGTCCACACTTGTCAGCTATATCAGCCATTTTATTAGATATAATTGGAATCACACACACACACACACACACACTCACACACACACCCATGTGGCAATGTTCTTTTGGTTATTACTGCTTTTAAAGTAATTTTTTTAAAGTGTTGATTTGCAGAAAATAAAGTCCTAAGCAAAGTCAGTGTCCAACCCTAGTGTAGTTCAAATGCTTACTCCATTCCAAACGGGGAAATTATAGGACATGGTAGGTGGTGGTGGTTTAGTCCTTACCTATCATGAGAGTCTACTGGCTCAGTTCTCAGTAGTGGAGCAGAAAACCACACCACCTGTCCTCAGTGCTTGGTGCTGTGATTGTTACGAATGGCTCCTAAGAAAATCATACAGACTTTGGTTTTCTATCTTGGTCAGAGAAGTTTGGATTTGAACTCTAGAAGTGTAGGATGCTCTTTTTCTATCAAGGGGTAAAAAGAGTAGCTTTTAACTACATCAAACTACCTCCTACAATGGAATCTCACTATTTCACACACTCACCCTTTGAAAACCAGGCTAAGGGACTGGCTGGCATCACTTTAATTCAAAATGAGGATGTGATCTCATACTTCTCTGCCATTAGAATCCCCAGATATGGCCAAAATATCACGTTATCCAAAAGCTCCAAAGTCCTGACCTATCAAGACCTTTGTCAAAAGCGCTGAAAACCCAAGCGGGAGGAACTCCAGTTTCACTTCCTCCTCTGCCTTGGAGGTGCCAACCAGCAAGTGCACAGCTCAGGCAGAGGATGAGAAAGGAGAAGCCAGGGTCTTCCAGCATCTAGAGAAACAGGAAGGCACAAGACACCGTGGACAATTCTATAGACTGGCCACGGGAGCTGAGTGACCTTCAGGCCAGCTTCCGTCAGCCTGGAGATGTCACACAGAAGCGAGTCTATTTCATGGCTGTCGCCAGAGGAGCGAACCAAGAATCCATCGATCCCGGCCCCGTGGCGTGCATCCTACTGTGTGCGCTGTGTTTGTTCCAGGGTCAGGGGGCGCGAGGCGTGGCCTGGGAAGCCCCACTGCATTTCTCGGGGGGTGCACTGTGCAGCACTCGCAGATGTCCAGATTTGTGGCAGCTTCTCTTCCCCACCGAGTTCAGCTCCCCTGGAGGAGTAGGATCTCTGCTCAGAGATCCCTTCTCTCAGAGAGCAGGGGCGTGGGCAGACACAGTCCCTGGCCCTCCTGCCGGTGGAGCTGGGTTCTAATCACAGGGTGGCCGCTGGTGCACACAATCTGCATTTCCTGTTCTTGGAGCCTTTCTCTTTCTTGATGCTAGAAGACCCTTCTTTCCTTCCTTCCTTGCAAATCCTAAAATTCTTCCGTAACTACCCCCACCAGACTCTTCTCTTTCCTCACCTATCTTCTTTTTACTATCACCTGTTTACCCCTACATTATTTAAACTTGATGCGTTATCTCTCCCGTCAAAACCTGTTCTGTTTTCTGTGATCACACTGTCATTTGCAATAATGTGGTAAAACCCACAAGATTGGGTTCATAGATTTATGGGCTCATAGATTCTGTTTCTCCTCCTCCAGTGTAAGGCAATGAGTGTTTAACTAACTGTTACTTTCCATTGTGTAGTTTACAGTGGGCTCTCATTGACAGTTGAGCCTGTGATTTTTGTGGGAAAATAAAAACATGACAAATGTTATTATCCTCACTTACAGTTCAGCAAGCACTGGCTCTGGAGGTTAAATGATTCATCCAGAGTTTCACAGCAACAAAGTAGAAGTGTTGGGACCCACACCCAGGTCTTTGGCAACCCAATCCCAGGCCTTTGAATCTTAAGGGCTTCCTGTCCCCATTTGATCTGCCCTACTCTGTTTTTACTTTGTTTGTTTGTTTGTTTGGTACCAGGGATCGAACTCCGGTCCTTGTGTTTGCCAAGCAGGTGCTGGAACCACTGAGCTAAATCCCTGGCCCTGATCTGCCCTACTCTGATCGTGTATCACATGTGATCATTGTCATAGATGGGCTGATAACGCAGGCTATTGAGGTGGCAGTTATTTTGGGACCACCTTCTGAGGACAGTGTTGGCAAGGACCGCAAAACTGAGACGCTGTCAGCTGTCTTTCTCATCAAGTTGACTCAAACGTTACAGGACAAATCATTTTTAAACCTTAATTTTTTTTTTTCAGTACTGGGGATCAAACTCGGGCCCTTGCGCTTGCGAGGCAGGCACGGGAACCACTAAGCTAAATCCCTGGCCCCAGACCTTAAATTTTTAAAAATGCTTTTCAGCTCTTTGCTGTGGCGGCCCAACCGAGGAGTCTGCACCGTGGGGCAGGCTCATGGCAGGATAGGCTTTTAGGACTGAGAATCGTTTGAAAGGAGCGCAGCCGAAACTGTCACCAAAGGAGGCGTTATGTTTCCAGAAAAATCTCAAGGCAAAGTACTGCAGGCAGCTGTGGTGGCCGTGGGATCCAAGGGAAAGGGTGCAGATATTTAACCAGCGAGTGTGAAAGTTGGAGATAAAGTTCTTCCAGAATATAGAGGCCCCAAAGTAGTTCTAGATGACAAGGGTTATTTCTTATTCGGAGACGGTGACATTCTTGGAAAATAAGTAGAGCGAAGTCAACCGCGGCAGAAATGGCACCACACAGTGCTGCCCATTCCACTGGGTTCCGTAATCTGTCATCATGCAAATAATTTCTGTGTCTCTTTTATAATAGACTGACGACAGTGACATCCATTGCCTCTAAAGTTTAGTTTCCCTCTCCGGGCATACACATTTCCAGATAAAATACGTAAATGAAAAGAATGCTTTTCAAAGAAAGTAAGGTTTTTCCCTGGAGGCTAAGGAAAGAGGGAAGCACCTAAGAGGCTCACTTGGGAACCACAGGATGCTGTTCATTGAAACCTCCGCTGGGCCTGCTGACATCTGTCTGCTGCCTGGGCAGGAGGGAGGCTGGGACTCTGGCTGCTCTGCTCTGCCCTCCGGGAGTGAACTCCAGCTGACCTGTGTGCCACGGAGCCTCAGGGCTCCCGTTCCTCCTCCAGCCTACAGAGGGGTTGAATGAGAAGGTCCCGAGGTCCCCTCCGGCTGTGACATTCTGACAGTCTATGAATAGCGAGGACATGACACAGGTGCAAGCCCATCACCCCGTGGGAAGCTCACACCTGTCTCTCCTCGGTGTTTCCGCCCCTCACTCCCAGCAGTGCCAAACTCCAGGCCCAGTCCGGGTCGAGTTGCCAATCTGAAGCCATTCAAGGACAGTTGTCCTTCTGCATGGGGCTCCTTCCAGCCTGGCCCTTCTTTCCTCTCAGGTTTGCATCGCCACTAACTCATGTCTGCATCTTTGCTTTTAGATTAAAATTACTCACAAGAACCAAGCACCCATGATGATGGGGCCTCCCCAGAAGAGCAGCTTCTTTTCACTGAGGAGGAAAAGCCGTTCAAAAGATTAGACTGTGTGTCAAATGCCAGCTAAACCAAGGGAGAAAACAAGAAACTGTAACTACGTACACACACACACACACACAGCAAAGCCACCCTTCTGGAAGGGAACTTCACCTCGCCATTTGGAAATCAGGGAAACGACCCTGACAGAACCAGTCCCCACAGAACTTTTCAGATATACTTAGGTCCTCAGCAACCCCCACATTCCGGCGGGCCCTGAGCAGGACCGGCAGAGACCGAAGGAGAAATCTCCCCTTCTTTTCACCAGCTCTGCATGTTTCCGCAGCGACCCACCCATGCGGGGCAGGCTGCCCACGGTGTGGTCAAGAGCACCGTTCCAGAGAGTCTGCCCACAAGTCCTTCTGTACAAAGCCAGCGACCCGTGCGGGGGCCCAGCAAGCGCACGATGGCTTCTTGGTTGTCCTCCCAGCGACAGCTTCTCCCCGAACTTGCTGAGGCGGCAGGAAGGCTGCCCTTGGAGAACGGTTTCCATTCCCGGTTCTCTGAGCTGTCAGTGGGCACTTGTTCACTTCCCGAGCCCTCTCCTGGTGTCTGCGTGTTTGTTTAGGGACAGCTCCAAGAGCCCCGGAGCTGCCTGCATGGCACACCTCAGATGTGGTATTTATTTTCTTAGTTCTGTGAACACCTGGGAGGGAAAGCGGAGAAACTGGGGTTTATTTTTCAAATCGGTGTCATAACAGTGTATAAAAGGGGCAAAGGGCCGGGGATTTAGCTCAGTGGTTACGCCGTCTGCCTGGAGAAGCTCGAGGACCCGAGTTCCATCCCCAGGCAGGGGAGCTACCCCAGCTTCTTTTTGCCTCCCATATCCAGGTCAAAACATATTTCCTGTTCCAAGCCCTGGCGGCCGTCTATTCCCGAAGGCGGAGAAGGTGTGAGGCCAGGACTTTGTTGGGGACACCAGGAAACAATCCATCAGGGGTTCCCCGTGCTCTTGGCCCGGCCCAGTCTCACAGTGAAGGAACTTCGGATGGATGTGTGTGTATATATGTAGCGTATATATTTATATATAATACATAAATATTTATTTACTGATGGACTTTTCCTGATTGGAAATGAGCATAGGTAATATGGGAACAGAAAGTGGGAAAGAAAAAGAAGGTTCTCACCCACTCCACCGTTTCATCATCAAGACACGTTTCCCCATGCGGGTCACAAGGTGTGAGGGGAATGACAGGAGCTGCTTCTCATGAAGAAGACACCTATTATGGGCCCTCATGACAGCCATGAAAGAGCTGCCTGATGAATTTACTCTCCTTTTGTCAAACAAGGAAACGGAGTCTCAGAAAAGTGAAGAGGCCTTTCCACGGTATTTTGGCTCATGTGGTTCAGAAGGAGGTGCCACTAAGAAGATATTTATCAGAGGAAAGAGTCCACACATCTGGGAGTAGGGTCATTTCTGGTCACTGAGGAGGGATACTACTTGGATCTGGGTTTCCAGGGAGGAACAAACATGCAGCAGGTGTGTGGAATGGGCAAATTCACACAAGCAAGTGGGGCCCTGGGAAGGCTTCTCAGTTCTCTCTGGCCTGAACTGGAGAGAAGTTGGTCTGAGCTGAAGGCACTGAACGATCATCAAACTGACCCCTCCACGTGACGCACCTCTTGGTCACCAGAGTCTCTCAGTTTGGAAACACCCCTGGCTGAAGCAGTGACCTCAGGTGAGAGTCACCAGGAGGACGGAGTGCCCTTTCACAGGACGCTTCCAGCCAGCACAGAAGGGTCTCAGTGCACAGTGGGCTTCACTCAGAGGGTGCCAGCGTCCCCTCCTTTCCCCAGGGCAGAGCTTCATTGGTACAAAGCAACATTTTCCTTGGCCCATGTGCTCACTTGAGCCCCATCCCTCTCCCAGATTCTCAAGTCCTGGGCCCACCTGACACTGCTCAGTGAGCTGCCTCTAGTCTCCTTGCACTGGGCCAGGCACTCAGAACAAGGAAGGCAATATTAAGATGGTGTGTACAAACTGAAGGAAGCAGTCATCTAAAACCGTCTATGACTGAGATCTGGGACCATGCTACTCAATCCAACAGTGCTGAATCCTGAAAAATGTGAAACCAGGCCACATGGCCTTCCTGATGGGGTCCCAGGTGATGGGATCACCAAGCTCCGGAATGGCAACAGGTACCATCTCAGAAGCCATCTGGTTCTGAAACTGAGACACGTTCAGTTTTGGGGTCCCTGATTCTAAGACATGTACAGGAGCTTTTGTGTAGGTTTCAGTCCTGGTCTGTCAAGATTGAGGCCGTTGAGACATGACACTCTCAACAGGTGCAATTATTCTCAGACACACACAAGTCTCACGCAGAGGCCATGCCTAGATAGAATTTCATCCACTCCACCCCAGTGGGCAGAACTTGAGTATTGCTTGAGAGACATACCTGGGCCCTCCTTAGAGGAACAAAGTGGAACAAACTTCAGCGGACTTGACTGCTGATTTGATAACCTTCGTAAGTCTCGTGGTGTTGTTTAATCTTATTTTGCAAATCATCTTTTAAACACCGTGACTGCGGTTTCTTACTGTGAAGTGCCTCATCAGAGTGATTCCCCTCCGCAATAACCAAGGTTAGCAAAGAAGGCATTATTATCTCAATGGTAGCGAGGAGAATGAGGCCGGATGAGGTTGAGTGACTTCTCAAAGCCACACAGGTAGTCAGGAGAGAGCCCAGTCCCTTATTTCTTGTCTAATTCTGATTCTGACTGTGCTATAAACGTGTTCTCACCTGCCTTCATGCTCCCACCCCATTAGCAATAAAAACAGTGAAACAGGAAATCTCAGTACGTTGTGTTGTCCCTGGGCTGATGGGCTCGGAGTGGCGTCTCATATGGTTTAGTCTTTGTGGGATTTCCCCCATGAGTCGAGAGTGGAGACAGACTTGGTATGATGATTACATCCGGGTCAGAGACCAGCTTCTCTCAAGAGCGTTCCTCTCACAGATGGAAAAGTTACGTTAAAATTGCCAAATAAATTAGGAAATACTTGGCAGAACCTGGAAGAGCCTCCAGACTGCCATTACATAACATGCATATACATTATACATATGCACATTATATAAGGTGACATAGTACTTAATGTGCTGTATATATTATGTAAATTACGTATTTGTGAGTAATCATGATAAATATAGAGACCCACTAATCACTTTTTTACACATACTCAGTGACAGATTAGGAAGTTACTTTGCCAGAGAGTCTTAAAACTTACTCTCTCCTGCTGCTTTGGTTCCAACTCCTGCCAAAAATAATTGCATCAACTTTTCCCATCTCGAGCCCCTTCTTCTCTTGGCCAAAACGCTCAGTTACCTCCTGTCCCAGCCAGGCTGTGCCTTCCGTGCACCACTGCCACAATCAGGATCCACAAAAATAGAATCCCAGGGATGGAAGGATCCAGACTCTCAGCTTCCCTATGCCGCAGGCCGATACCTCAACACTCTCGGGCTGTGGGTGCCTGATGCCAACACTAAGGGAGGGAGGAGGGCAGAGGCAGAGGGAAGAATTACTAAGCCCCAAGGAAGCAAGTGCCATAGTCCTCAGCTACCAGTTCCCGGATCCAGTACTAATCAATCAGAAAATTATTCCATATATCTAAGCCCTCATAGCTTATGTGAAACCATAATATCCTAGCAGTTGTCTTACAAAAACTAGTATCCATGAAATGCTCTGTGTAAAAGTTCTGTAGTCAAGTACTAGGTCCCTACTAGGTCATACACAGAGAAACCTGGAGAACTCACAGAAAAGAACCACGGAGTCCTTCGTCAGCATCTAAAGATTAGGAAACGTCACCTTTGGCCCACAGTTATTTGTTCTCAGTGGAGATAGGAACCTGCAAGTAACCACTGTCTTCAACAATATCCCAGATAGTACTTTTCCAGGACAGGAAGTCTCCAGCTTGCAGACATTTTGGGGTTGTTTGTTTGTTTTGCCTTCTGCTTGTTTTTGAGAGAAGGTCTCCCTGTATTGCCAGGTTGACCTTGAATTGTTGGGCTCAAATGATCCTCCTGCTTCAGCCTCTCACATAGCTGGGATGACAGGCATATGCCACCATACCAACTCTTTCTTATTTCTTCTCTGTGGTTGTTTTTATTGTTCTCTACACACCTTCAAGCAAGAATCAAGGAGGAGGGCTGGGGATTTAGCTCAGTGATGCCGCCACCTGCCTTGCAAGCACAAGGTCCCGAGTTCAATCCCCAGTACCAAAAAAAAAAAAAATCAAGGAGATAGACTCTGGTTCGCTGAATGGGGAAGGGACAGGAAAGGGAGTTAATGAGCAGACAAAGCAAAGGGGAAACATGAGCGCTACCGGTTCATACTTCATCTGTGTGGCCCGAAGGAATGGAACAACATCTAAAGAATACAGTTGTAGAGAGGTGGAATTGCGTTCAAGTAATTGCTACTCTTGGAGCCGGCCTCATAGGGAAAGGGCTGCTGGTGTGTGTGTTGGGTAGCAGTGAACATCCTCTTGCTCTTACAGGAAAGGCTTTGACCGGGTTGGGTAGAGAAAAGCAATAGTTCGTTTCCCTTGCCCAAAGAGCTGTTGAAACTGTTTCTGTAATCATCGAGGTTAAAGTGATAGATGTAGTCATTTCCTTTGAGCCAAATTTCTTGTTAGTCCTTATTTTCTGAAAGTATGACAAATAATTGCAAGAAAAATGCCTAGATCGGTGTGCACTGACCAATTAGACAAGACTTACACATCCATTACTAACCTGACTCACTGGCATCCTCAGGGCAGCTGGTGATAGTCCAGTCTCTCCTTGTCAGCTCTTAAGAGTTGAAGGAAGGGGTATTAGGACCAAAAGAGAGTTTCCATCTCTATTGGGGTCCATATTAGCAGTGTGAAATTCTTCTAGTCACAAATATAAGGTGTACATCAGACTTGGGATAGCAAGGAAAAAACTGTCTCCTACCTCCCATGTCAATCAATTTTATTTATTCATTCATTCACTCGTTCATTCGTTTTGGTACCAGGTATGAACTCGGGACCTTGCACTTGCAAGACAGGCAGTGGAACCATCAGATATCAATCAATTGTTAAATCAAACTGGAGGGCAGACTCATACAGACTCTCATGTGGAGCCATTGCTTTTAGCTCCACTGATGTTCTACCATATTGGAATGCATATTTCAACATGCTGTTATAGAAAGAAAACAGGAAAGAGAGATACGAAAGGTAATTCCCATTCACCGCTTACTTGGTGCCAGTTACTATGTCAAGATCTTTTTCTGTGCTCCTCCTTTTAATCTTCAGAACAGTCTATGCGATGTGCACTGTACTTACTGAGAATTACTGCATAGAAAGTTGAAGAGCCTTGACCAACACATAGCAAGTAGTAGACCCAGACTTGGCACATGTCTACTTTACATCAAACCCTACACTTTTTCCACTATATGTTAACGCTCTTAACACTCTTACCTGTTTCCAACCCTACCATTGTCTTGGGAGAAGTTACATGACGTTAATCAACTGCTATCCTATCTGTTCAACCTCTGCAGAGCCACCTAACTGTGTTCTTCTGAAGAACTTCCAGTGCTTGTTCATATTTAAACTCAGCAGCCTTCATGGACCCCAAAACCTCACCCTTACTCTTCATTTGGCAGCCATCCCTTAATCCTCAATGTCTTCAAGTTCTGGAAATGGGATGGGACCCATGCCCCGGCACCTACCTAATACATGGTTCTCTGTTCAGAGCAGTGAGTGGGAGAACAGTAAGCAGTCTTCTCGGGCTTAAATGTCACGGTCCACAGTGACCAGCCAGCAGGGGAAGGAGTGCTGGAGTTTTTGAAGGGAGCCTCCAGCCAGGAGGCTCTGCATGTGATCCTCATTAGCGATAGGCGTGGGCAGGGCCATCTGTGCTCCACGGGAGAACAGAATGGCAGGCTGCCTTTCAGATGCCAAGAGATGCTATCTAATGGGAAGATCCAGTGTGCTCCAAAGGCAAAGAAGCATTTCTCCACGCGGGCATCCTCGTGGGAAACCAGAGTCCAGGGAAAAAACCAAAGGGTTCTAGAAATTGCCTGCTCAGCTTGCCAGGCTTTCTGCTCTTGCCACCGCTGCATTTTTCATGTCCATGGTGCAGGATGTCAGAGTCAGGAAGCCTCATCTGTGAACTAGACGTCGTTAGATAAGGCCACGGCGGACCTGTGTTATCCCGAAATCTACATAGGTGACTGCGGGTGCGTTCTATCAAGGCATCAGTTTGCCATTAAGCCTCCACGTCTCCCAGGGATCGGGAACGGCACAGGTAGAGGAGACCATTTAATTGAATGTTAATTGTAGATGCTACAGGAATAATCAGCAAATATAGCTATCATAAATGGGTCAAGTTAGGAAAACGCCGTTTGGAAACAAAGGGGATAACACCTGGCCCAGTTTCCAGAATGTAGTAACACAAGGTAAGTATTTGTAAAATGAGCGAATGAATGAATAGGGAAAGAGAGAATCTGTCCTTCTACCCTGGAATGGGTGGGGGCCAGGGGGATGAAAGCTTTTAAAGTAACAACTCAGGAACTTGAAACCACAGGATGTAGAGGGAGCTCATGGGGGCCTTCACCCAGACATCTGTTGAGTGATGGATACAGCTAAATATGGATCATCAAAGGGCTTTCTAGGTCACATGGAGGGCAGCTTCATGATTCAGAAAATATGAAATTCAGCTTGAAGAGAAAGGCAGAAATGTTTGCCATCTACTTCTTAGAGATCAGGCCAGGACTGACAAAGAGGAAAAAAAAAAAAAGAGCAGCACAGAAGTAAAGCTATAATAACTACAAGAGATTAGAAAAATAAGATACAGATTCATGAGATGAAGGGAGAGAGAGAACTGGATTGTTTTAGAATGTTGGTTTGGGCAAGGAAGGTGGATATGAACACTGCAGTCCACAACTGGAAGGAAAGAGTCAGAAATCAGGGGGAGAGAGAGAGAGAGAGATTACAGCCGAGTTAAGGGTAAAACCAAAATGTACAGGTATTGACGAGACTGTTACATAACATCGTTTTTATCTAGTGTGAAGGCTTTCCCTTTTATAATCACTGTAGAACTTCAGAAGGACCTTATGAAGTTCATTGTTGCTATATGGCTGCTCATGTGGTAAGACAGGAAAGAGAAACAGAGCAAACCTCTTATTGGCAGATAAGGGACTGACCTGTCTCCTCCCCCTTCAGAGCCCACGTCTGTGCCTGATGCACCATTAGCGACTCCTCCGAGTTTCAGGTACAGGAACAGGGATTTTCAACCCCCAGGTCGATCCCCTGTGTTATGATCTCCTTCTCCAACTGGACACCCAAGGCCCTGCCCTCCCCTCCACATACCTCGAGCGCAAAATGGCACTCGTGTGTCTGGGTGAGGACACATGGAGGAGAGGATAGCAGAAAACCCATGGGCCCCTTCTCCTTCTCCCCTCCATGTAGTCCTCACTCCCAGGCACGAATTGGGCTGTGTCCTGAGACTCTACTCAAAGCAGAAACAGCCAAAACCAGCACAGTCAGATCAGAGTCCTTGCGTAGTATTAAAGATCGTGGTAAAAGATACTCAGAGACCATAGTAAAGATCAAGGGCGAGAGAAATGAGGCCAAATAGTCAAACATCTCATACACACACACACACACACACACACACACAGGACCGTCTAGGAGAAGTATCCAGAAGGGCTGAAATTTCTGTTGAGGGACACTTCAACAGTACTTTCACAGTAATTAATGACCTTATTATTTCTTCTTCTTTTTTTTTAAGAAAACTGGTACCAATTGGTAGGCAGAAAAATGGCAGGATTTCAA